CCAAAAAAAAAAAAAAAGAAAAGAAAAAAAAGGTGGAAAAAAAAAGATATATTGCCACTGGAAAGAAAATTGGCTTTGCTGGTTGTGTCCTGTACCTAAGTTACCTCCAGAGACTTATGTGAAGGACTGTAAATGATTGTATTAACCTATGCTATTTATGCAGCAGGCCTTGCATGCCTATTTACTTTGTTTTCCCCTGAGCTGCTGTGTCTCCTCGGAGTTCTCCAGTAAGGTAGGTTTTTAATAATAGTTATTCATTTTTCTTCACTTAGCCAGGCCACTTGTTTAGAAAGGGTTTATGTGCCCTTCCCCCTGTGTCTGGGGCTAATTTAAACTACGCACTGCTGGGAGGTGAATAGCAGGGCTGGGATATTTCTCCTTTTAGAACATTCCCTGGTTGATGACTAAAAGACTGCCTCAGTCTGGATTACTGTGGTGTCACTAGGGCAAGAGACTGGAGGAAGCTTTGTTGTTCTTCCAAGTTTATGGTGGTGAGTGCGTACCACGGCCACTGGCTTGGCAGGTGTCTGCCACCACGGCTTCAGGAAGATGGGCCAGCTTAAATAAGATTGTTGCCAGTGGACAGAAAAGGTTTTTTCATGAGGATTTCCAGGTGCAGCAGGAGGTTGTCTTGCTTAGCGTTCACGCTTCTCAAGTAACTAGTGACATTTTTTCCTCCCTTGAAGCACAAAGGGAAACATACCAAAAAAAAAAAATAAAAAAAAAAATTAGGAGCTCAAAGGTTGATGTAGGTTTGAGTTCTAATGTGCAGGTGGGAGGACTAAAGCAACATGATTTTATCCCTTCCACTAGAATTTCAAAGCTGATTCTTCAAACAGGCTCCGACCCTGCCTCAGTAGAGCATGGAACAGTAGGAGGTAGAAAAGTTGGAAGGTTCCTATTTCCCTATTTTCTTCAAGCTACATTTCACATTTCACTTTGACGCATGCATCTTAACAGTTCATATTCCGCTGCAGCAGTAGAAACTACTGACGCTAACTTCTTCTGTTAAAGGCGTGTGTGTGTGTACACATCCTATACATTTGAGCAGTGACCCTATCTGACTACAGAAATAACATGTAGGAGTGGTTCTCAACTTTTTTAAAGTCAGAGCACCTCTCAGAAAATGTCAACTGGTAATTTTCACACCTTTACTACAGAAAAACTATGGATCTGTTGCAAAGAACTCAGAAAGACCCCAAAAGATCAACATTTTTAACACTATGGATTCCTATTTGAACTCTTTGCATTTATCTTGTGAATCATGTTTGCACACTTAACAGTGGCATCTTATGGCACTTGTAGCAGGATCTTAAGGCAACTCAGGCTGCAATGGCACCTTCACTGAGAATCAATCTCCTTTATAGTTGGTTAGTGTTAATTAAGCACAGGATTGTTACTAGAAACATGGTGTTTTTTGTATTAACTAGTTTTGAATTTCAGACTCAATGGGTACCTATACACATTCTCTGACACATTTTAATTAGAACACGTTGGATCACGGAGTCTGCTAGAGTGTTCTAATCGGAAAGCTCCAGGATGCCTCAACATCACATTTGTTCAGCATCCCACGTTTCAAAACAGTGGTGGGGGCATTTTAAAACTTGAATGAGCTTTAGTTAAAAGCACCCCTGTGACCATTTTGAAACATGGAGATGCAGCATTTGAATTGGAGCAGCTGTCTGGGAGCTGCTCTGATTAAAATGCAAGCTTCCCCTTACCAACACTTTTATAGACATCCAGTGAGATGCTGAATACACCAGATGCTGTGGGTGTTTTAATTAGAGTGGCTCCCAAGGGGTCATTTAGTTCAACCCCCTGCCTGAAGCAGGATCATCCCTATCAAAACCATCCCATAAAAACCGTAATCTAAACTCTGCATAAGACTACTGTCAACTCTGACACAACACAGATCTAACATCCCAACCTGCTGCAGGTAAAGCGGAGGAACTATGGTGGACTTAAATTTGATGCTGAGTTTGCATCATTTTTCATTATAATGATGCCCTTGCTTCACTCTCTTGCATTTACTAAATGTGCAAGATCAATTCGTATGGTGCAGCACTAACTTTCTGCTGAGCTCAGCCCATTTAACACGGTCCTGCAAGGGCAAGGCTGTACATTTAATTTAGTTACCCAAACCACCACTGGGTTCTGCCCATGCAGGGATCTCCTTAATGGCCAGGTTCAGGGCTAAAGAGCTAATTTACAAAAAGAAGCCAAGAAATGAAATGATTCTTCACTCTGTCTGTCCTGCTGAGTCTCATCCCTAGGTGTAACTGCCCCTGGGCTGCTCTAGGGTTTTGGAAAGCGGCTGAGGGTACAGATGGTGATGGTGTGGCACATCATCTATAACACAACACGCTTGCTCTCCAGTTGAAGAAAAGCTAGCTGCTTTACTAAGAGGCTAGGCCTCTACTGTTTAGTTTAAGATGGAAGCAAACCAGATACAACTATAAGAATGTGCCTGTGTTTGCGCAGTTGTGTATAAAGGTTTACAAACAGTCAAGTAGGCAAAAAATATAGCAGTCCTGGAGTCACTGTAGCTGAAGGGAGATATCTTTTTGAGATTCATGGCACAAGATCTAGCCTTCTTGCTGTCTCATCAGCGCCTCCAAAGCTCCTGTCACCTGTGTTCACACACGATGCGGCAGCCGGTTCCTTCCTGCCGTTCCCAGTCCCTTTCTCAAAGGCCATCTTTACACAGAGGTTGCTAGTAATGAATGTGGCTCGCCCGGGCGTTAGCATTCCGGCAGAAATGTACGCTTAATAATGACAACGTAAAACAAGGGCACGCGTCAAGCACAGCGCCCTGAATAAGGGGCTGGGAGGAAGGGGCAAACGTCTGTCCACGTCTCGCCCGCAGTGGAAGTGCGGGGCAGGGACCGGCAGGGGAAGGCGCCGCCCCACCGCCGGGATCGCTGCCGGCTCCCAGCTCGCGGGCCTGGGGTGCTCGGCGGGGCGGCCGGACGAGGCCCCTCAGCTCGTCGCACGCGGCGCGGTCTGTGAGCGGCAGCGGCA